TTTATATTTTTTTTTTAAATTTTTTTTTTTTATCCAACATCTCCATTGGATCTCTCTTTTCAATTCTGTGTTTGCATTTTCAGATATTTTAAAATATTCTGTTAAAGACAAAATTAAAATAAGCCTATTATTTTAAAAAAATATGGAATAGCTAATGATGGAAGCCATTTTCTAGTGCAAGGGTGCCAACAAATTTGTCTGCGGTTTATAGGGACCCTTTCATTATTTGCCTTATCAGCTGCCATGGTGGTTGGCCACCTTCAAGAAGAGATTTTCAGTGACTGTGTTTGAAAGGTAACATCTATCCAATGCATTATACAGTATATTAACTGCTATTTTATAAATATTTGTCTTGTATCTTCCTCAGATGCCCTTGACTTATCCAGAATCTTTTCTACGGCAACTAAGCAACTGTTGGATTTGGGAGCATTTGTGGAGGCAGCCCGGCATTATTCTCTAATAGGTATGCGATTATGCACTCCCATTGAGGAGCTGATTGATGCTTTTACTACTCGAAGAACACAGGAAACTGGTGAGTATTTATGTAGTGCTGTAGACATGCCATTGGTGTTGCAGCCCCCATAAAATTGATTTCAGTACATTAAAATGTTGCATGTTTCATTGACGGTCAAAAAAGGTGCACCAAGACAAGAGATGAAAGTTGTCCTGTTTAGCTTTGGCTATTTGTAGCTAGGCTGAGGGATATTCCCCATGCATATATGCACCAGTGGACAATAAACACCGATCAACCATAACATTATGAGAGGGTAAGTGAATAACAATGATTATCTCGTTACAATAGCACCTGGAAGTGGGTTTTGGCAGCAAATGAACATTTTGTCCCTGAAGTTGATACATTGGAAGCAGAAAAAAGGGGCAAGCATAAGGATTTGATCGACTTTGACAAGTGGCAAATTGTGATGGCTAGAGTCAGAGCAACTCCAAAACTGCAGCTCGTTTTGGATGTTCCCGGATTGCAGTGGTCAGGACCTACCAAAAGTGTTCCAAAAAAAAGGAAAACGAGTGAACCGGCGACAGGGTCATGGGCAGCTAAGGCTCATTAATCCAGGCGGGAAGCAAAGGCTGGTCCATGCAGTCCATTCCAATAGAAGAGCTACTATAGCTCAAATTGCTAAAGAAAAGTTAATGCTAGTTCTGATAGAAAGGTGTCTAAACACACAGTGGATTGCAGTTTGTTTCATATGGCAGACCAGTCAGGGTGCCCTTGCTGACCTGTGTCCACCACCAGAAGGCACGTGAGCATCATCAACTGGACCACAGCAATAGAAGAAAGTGGTCTGGTCTGATGAATTACATTTTCTTTTGCATAATGTGGATGGCCATGTGTATGTTGGTCACTTACCTGGGGAAGAGATGGCACCAGGATGCACTATGGGAAGAAGGCAAGCCGGCAGAGGCAGTGTGATGCGTTGGGCAATGTTCTGCTATGAAACATTGGGTCCTGCCATTCGTGTGGATGTTACTTTGACACATACCACCTACCTAAATATTGTTGCTGACCAAGTACACCGCTTGATGGAAATGGTATTTCCTGATGGCAATGGCCATGTTAACAGGATAATACACCCTGTGACACTGCAAAAATGCTTCAAGAATAGTTTGAGGAACACAACAATGAGTTGGAGGTGTTGACTTGGCCTCCAAATTCTCAAGATCTTGATCCAGTTGTGCATCTGCGGGATGTGCTAGAAAAACAAATGTGATGGCGTGTTGCGGATCGCCGGCGCCTCTCTCTCCGCCGGGCTCTACATCCTGCGCAGGCGCGCCCTGTAGCTCCGCCCCCTCTAGAGCGAACGCTCGGCTTAAAGCCGCCGCTCGTTAGTTGATTGGCGTCCCACTATTGATGCAGCAGGACGCTGATCAACTCAGCGCTCCACTCGCTTTTCTGGACCCTGACTAACCAGTCACTACAGCAACTCAGGACTCTAAACCCAGCAGAAACGCAAGTACCCTGGGCTATAGCAGACTATAGCACCAGGTCTCCTCACTGACTACAGTGAAAGACTGTGTCCACTTTTGCAGGTGTGATCCCTCCTCTGTGGGGCAGTGTAGCGTACACTTACTGAAGGTGTATAGAGTGCTGTGAATACTCATGATTTGCTGTGTTTAATAATCACTGCTGTGAAGAACCCTTACTTGCTGTAAACACCAACTGTGTGCATTTAGACTCATTAATGTGCTTAAGTTTTACCCCCATACTCAGTTGTAACCAAGCACTTTTCAGCGGGGAATGATGTGAAGCAGCTCCCTCTCAGCCTTCTCCAAAAAACAGGGGAAGTGAGGTGCAGCTGCTACTCTGATACCTGTACCCTTAACCGCAGTTGTGATCCATATAGCCTTAAAGCCCAAGTCCGGGGCGACTCTTACAATAGAGGCCCTACCTTATAACTTACAGGCATTAAAGCATCTACTACTGATGGCTTGGTCCCAGATACACACATCATACCATCAGAGGTCTAGTGAAGTCCATGCCTGGACTGGCCAAGGATGTTTTGGTGGCAAAATGGCCACATAGTTAATATTAGGTAGGTGGTCATAATGTTATGGCTGATCGGTGTATATCACCAGTTGAATTGTCAGATAATAGCTCTTCGCAATGTTGATTATTATTATTTATTTTTTTGGCTGATTGCTACTGTGTTCTCCTGAAGAAAACTGTCAAAGGATGTGTCTACTCCCCCTCCTCTACTGCAGTGGGCACAAAATCCTTTACCGTCCTGCCATATATGTTTATGGAAAAATCTTTGACCAATCAGATTATTGTATAGTTGGCCAATACCCTTTTGACTGAGTGTTTTGTCTTTGTTAACTAATGACCCTTAATCCTCTAATAGTAAAGAAGACCTGTTTTACAAATAGCTTGGCTTTTAAGACATTATGTTTGTGGCTAGAGTAAATTGCAGTACTTATTTCAAACTCAATGTAATGGTCTCAATAATAATGTTCTTTCAGCTATTCTGTTGTTAGGAAAATAAGCAACAGTTGGTGTGACAGTCAATAGCATCACTAGAGAGTACACATTTGCTTAAAAAAGAACTCCGGGCAAAAATGATCTTAACCCTTGCACTGGGTCTACCCCAGCACTGCAAGTTTTAAGTGTATGTTTTCATCTACGAATGAAAATAACAAAGTTATTCCTGAAACTCACAGCCAACTGGCTCCTAGACTGGGCCCCTTCAGTCTCCACCACTCCAGTGATGGAATGTCCCTTGGCATCCTTACGTCCAATAACCTGTATTGGGCATGATGACTTAAGGACCTTAGACAGTTGGAGAGGAGGATAAAAGAGGCTCCACGGACTGGTCTAATAGACATTAGATTCAGGTGAGTATAATTGTGTTATTTTTGCTCCTAGATGACAATGTGCACTTAACCCTTTCAGTGCAGATGTAGCCTCACTGCAAATTATAAAATAATTTGGCGTTCTGAGCACAAGGAGAGCTAAAAATTAACAGGCTCTGAGGTGCATTTTATGTAAACATTAGTCTAATAGTTATTTTGAAAAATCTGTATTTAAAATAATGCAAACCATCTGGCCGTTTGTTAAATTGCAGAAATGGTGCGACACAGTGTTCTTTGTGCGCGGCAGAGACCAGGGTGTCGGTTCAACATGTGGACATGGCATTGAGGCACCATCTGCACCATCTCCCATTCTGCAGTGAAGTGTGGTCTCTCTTATAGTGGAACAGTTTGGCGCAAAAAGTGTTTAGCATCCAGTGGCTGGGTCACCTTTTACTTTACAGATACCGGCGCTTTCTGTAAATACAGTGCAATACATGTACCTGTGAAACGCACACCCCTTGTGTGTCATATTTCCTGGTACCTTTGTGCTCCTAGGTATACCTCTAGCTACGCACCTGTCTCTTAAGTCATCTGCAGTGCGTGCTGCAACTTTAATTGTGTGTGTGCCATTGTTCCCATCTTCCTCCTCTTGGTTTTAGGTTTCTTCCCTACCTGTTTCTGTATCCAGTTCCCTGGTGCTTCCACTAGCCCCTTAGTCTGTGTGGGTGCGCTAGAGGGCCGCAACCTGGAAGGGGTCCGGCTGCAGAATCATCCTCACCATTAGAGGCTCTGTAGAAAACCCGGCCCTTCTTATATCCTGCACCTCTAGTGTGTCCCTGATAACACTCAAAGCTTTAGGTGTACGTTTAATTGCTGTGCCCGGACAAACTACAGTGTAGACAAGCTGCGGTGCGGTGCGAAGTGAAAGGTTGCTTTTTTTTCGCTTTGCTTCGCCTGCAGTGTGTCACAGCCTTGAGAGGGAAAAGGAGGGAAGTCTGTCTTAATGCCACCCTTCCCTCATGAGAGCAGGGATCTCAAGTCTCCCTGATGTTCAGGGAGTCTCCCTCAATTAGACAGAGGCTCCCTGACGTCTGCGAGAGAGGCATTTTCTCCCTGAAAGGTTTACTTTGAATAAACCTTTCGCTTGGCTCTGTCTTAGAAGGAAGAAGCTACTTGCTGCACAGAGAGGGCGGACATAGACTACTATTGAGAGCAGGTACAGGCACTGGGATCTACTGCTGCAGGGTTGAGCGAGTGCTGTTAACCCTTTCTTCTGTGAGAATAGTCAAAAGGGGGCGGGCCTATTCTCACGTCATTTGATCCAGTCTAAAGGAGTCACGCTTAAAGTGACCAGCCGGCTTTTTTAAACGATATTCATTCTTAGCGCTTTTTTATACATTTTGTATGCTTTGTGATCAAAATAAACTTGGGATTTATTACGCTATGAGCGTATGTTTTATTTTTCTTGCCTGATTGGACATCCTACCGGGGGGACTTCTATAAGTAAGGATCCTTCGTTTAACACCCCGGAGAAACTTATAGATATTTTGTACATATTTTTTACACATTTTTTACAAATCACTGACCGGTTGATATTTCACAATGGACTAACATCCTTTACACACAATTTTTTTTACACTGTATTTAAATAGATATATTGATTTTTTTCGAGATACATCCTTTATTGATTTTTCGAGATACATCCTTTATAGTTTATATACTCTTCAATTGTATGCTTCAAACCTTTGATCTTAACGTTTTGATTTCTCATATATTCATCAATGAAGAACGGTTAGCGCTGTACCATTTAAACACATCCTATACTAGTGGCCGAGTGCCTTAGTCCAGCAGCTTCCCGTACCCTTCTAGAATAATAATTTTTAAAAAAATAAGATTTTTTTGGTCCTGGGTTTAGATTTATCCATTTAATATTTTACTCTCCATTAGTGCAAGTTCTTGCAATTATATGATGCATTAATACCTGCTGCTAGTGTGTTTACACATACACAGTGCTGATGCACCTATCTCGGGACAGCAGGCTTTTTTCATGGACGCCAAACATTCTTATTTCCAGCATGTGTCAGAGTGCCCACTTACATTGCTTGACTCCATCAGAGTGCCCCTTTAGAATGTTTAACCCCATCACTGCCTCGCATTGTGGCCGTCTCTGGTAGTTTGATTCATGTTTTTGTGCTAGTACATGCTGAACAAATCGGAACATGTAAATCCTGCTTTTTAGCTATTTTCATCATTTTAACAGAGAAATAACTGTTGCACTTTGCTATAGAGGTGCTTTTTAATATTGTTATTGGGTGGTTTGGCAGAGTAAACTATGATCCTGTCAGGAGGATTGTAGATTATCACAAAGGATGTCATTGTGCAGCTCAGAATACATTCCCCACATTGCTTTCTCTACTGATCACCTTGACGACTTATCTCAGCCTTTCACAGCTGTTTCGTGTGATAAGTTTTCTTTTCGCAGGTTATTAAACAGCCTCTGTGCAGCCGAGAAAAACAAAGAGATCTGCTGAGTAAAGTTAACTCGTGATAAAGCTAGTTTTATCACGGTTTATTAAACGTACACCTTAGTTTCTAAGTTCGCATTTGTCCAACATTCCGGATATACCTCCTGTCTGTGACTCCAACTTTCATTTGACCTATTCTTACTGAAACAAACCAAACTGAAGACCAGTAACCCGAATCTTCTAGACATATTCAAAGAATCAGATGGCCTCCTGTGCACACCAAGGATTATGTGTTGTAATTAAAATACATAGTGTTGCTTTTAGATATTTTTTACATTGTTGTTGTCCTTATTTCTCAATATTGGGGAAAAAGACTGTACTAAGGAGAATATCTGATGTTCATGCCTTTGGTCTGCAGGTGTCATTATTTACAGTTATGAAATGTATAATACATGATATACTCTGTACAAGTTAGTTCCATTTCCTATTTTATGAATGCTTGAACTTGTTATCAAAGCACTCTTTATAAATATTCTGCCTCTCAGCATAAAGGGCACAAAAAGATGTCTGTGTCAATTTGTGCTCCCATTCTTTCAATAAATATCACTTACAGTATGAACACTGCAGCACAGCACTATGGAGTGTCGTTTAAAATAAAAACAAATAGCTAGATGATGCTTCAGCCAAAGGTCTTCTCAACCAAATGATAGACTACATATGACTTTTTTTTTCTGAATATTTTCAGAGATTTACCTTACATTCAGCATTATTTTCAGTGAGCAGTGCAGCTATTTTTACTATACGATTCTGTAAAGTTTCCCATGACAAAAAATATTGCTTTCATAATGTCTCTGCAAAAACTGTTGAATATATACACACAGTTTTTATAAATCGGGCATGGTTTTTAATACTGTTCATAGAGGGAAATATAAGAATTGTTACATGATTTTTCAAATATATTTTTATAATGTATTGTGGAGCAGTATTTTCAGACAGGTGACTTGCTGTCCAGTAATGTCACGGAAGTCTACCAACTATTTTTTTTTATTTATTACTTTTGGACAGCAGGATACTTGGAGAAATAGAATGTGCTCAAATATATAATATCTTTAGAACATCTTCTATTCTCTCTTTATTCCTATACATTATTCCTCTATTGTCCTTATTCCTATACAAACTTAGACTTGACATTTACTGAATTTACCACATATTATAGCTTTTCTCTTTTATGTGATCTTTTAATTCAGGTATCTCCAGCAGATCTTCTGTGGATTAGTAGGGCCTCTGCCCTCATCCAAACTTTTGCTTTGCCCTCCTAAACAGAGACAAATAGTTTGAGACATTGCCACTTGCCAGTCATAATGTTTTTAAACAGCCATCTGAAAAAAACTGAAGCATGTTATGTAACCAAGTAAACATAATAATGACCATGCAACCCAGAGACGTTCATAATTTGGCTTAGTTGGTGGTTCAGTCTGACACTCAACCTGTCCTGGACCTTACAATTAACTTATTAACTGTATGTAGCATGTTACTACACTGTGTAATTTAAAGGGAAGGTTCTACAAAATTCTATGTATGTCAGATGAATCATAATTATATATTTACATTTACTAATGTCAGTTTAAACTTCAGAACATGACGTGTTTATAATGTGAACAGTTAATCAAGAAGGACTATGATCTGTCCGCATTTGGAAATTAAAGAGAAGCCTGAAATTCTGCTGCTAGGTGACTTTGCCAAAGCTGACTTTAATAACTGCATTGACTGCATGGAATCTTGTCTGCTGTCTTGACCTTTACGTTTCCCTAGAGGATCCAGTTCCCTCCAAGCAAACTCACACAGATTGACTTCTGGTTCTACCTGTTTTATTAGTCAGATTTATTAGGTCATCTGAACTACTGAACTTTAGATAGCTGAATGAGATAATCCAAAGTGTGTTTTTCTAGAACCCCAATAGGATATGTGGAATTGGACAATTGTTATTTGAATATT